GGAAATTTGACCTGGAAATATCAACTGTAAGGCATATTCTACTTTAAAGATAGAAAAAATACTCACAATGCCTCCAAGTAAAAATATCAAATAATTTACAAAGGCAATCAATTAGACCAGCATCAGCCTTCTCAAAACAACAATACAAAGTAAGGCAATATTGGAACAGCATTTTCTTTTTTTTTTTAAATTCTAGTTTTATTTTATTTTTTTTTATTTTTTTAATTTTTTTATTTATTTTATTTTTTTCTTTTTGCTGTACTTATATTCTTTTTTACTGTTTCTTTCTTTTTTTTTTTTTTGTCAATATACAATGTAGTTGATTATTGTGTCCCATCACCGAAACCTCCCTCCCTCCTCCCTCTCCCTGGAACAGCATTTTCAAGAAACTAAAGGAGAGAAAGTGTGAACCAAGAATGTGTGTACAGCAAAGCTGACTTTCAGATATCAAGGCTATAGAAAACAGTTTGGAATATGACAGTAGTAAGGGAATACTGTCTACATATGTTGTTCCTGAGGAATATAGGATAGGATGAGTTTTATCTAACTAAAAAATGATTGAAATAACTTTGGGAAGTTTCCAAACAGTCAGCACTTCATATATTTTATTATGTAGCTGAGACTAAAATGAGAGAGAGTTCACAGGTAAAAGAATAATGTGTAAACATTCTAACAAAAATCAAAAGATGCATTTGAAAAAAAAAGAGGAGAGTATAAGAGAGAATAAAAGGAGAGAATAGAATATTATCATGTTTTATAAGTAATGGGTAGCAATAAACAAATATTTAAAACTGACATCTATCTGATGAGGTAGAACTAGAGGGGATTACAAACACTATAAAAAGTAATAATACAAAAGTAACCTATAAAATGAAAGTGCAAATCTTCCTAAGTACAAAAAGAATTTTTTTTAAAAAGCAAAAGAGACATGAAATAAACGATATAAATATAATATACACAATAATGTCAACATAATACTACAGAACTGAAAACAAACAGAATAGTCATGTTAATTAACATGAATGGGATTAAGTCACCTATTAAAAAAAAAAAAAAGGTTTTCTTAGGAAAATATAGTTTACCAAAACTGACCCAAGTAGAGATAGAAAGCTTAACAGACCAATTTCCATAAAAGAAATAAATTATCAAGACACTACATTATAGAAAAGGACCAAGCTAGATGGTTTCATAGGGGAACTTAACTAAACCTTTGGCAGTCAGTCCCAAAACTGAATAAATTTCTTCAGAATAAAAAAATGAAAGAAAATTTTCAAATGCTTTTCATGAAGCAGGTATAACATTGATGTATAAACCTGATAAAAATAACACACAAAAAAAGAAAATGCAATTAGGCTAGAATAACAGAGGCATAGGAATTGCAAAAGAAAAAATAAAACTATCTCTTTTTGCTGATAACATAACAATAACCTGGAGAACCTTAGAGAATCAATGATAAAACTAACTCAATACATTTATAAGCTAGCAAGAAATAAAATTAATATGCAAAATTCAATTGCATCGATATACGCACAAAAAATAATCAGTTGGAAGTTTTAACAGTTGACAAGAAATCAAAGATTATATAGAAAAATAGGCAAAAGGTGTGAACAAAAATTCACAAAAAAAGTTATAAAGTGCCCCTTAAATGTATGAAAAGATATGCAATCTTTCTCTCATAACAAGAGAAATGCCAGTTAAATCTACACTAAGATAGGACTTCCAGCTTCTAGTAATGATGAAGTAAGACGTTGATGGAGTTCACCTCCCAAAAGAAAACAACTCTGAAACCTAAACATTAAATACTAAGCAACTACCAAAGGAACAGGAGAGTGAACAGAATCAGGCAAACTGCTCGTCATGGACGAGGGGAGCGATACTAACTAAATTTCCTGTTTCTGCAGTTTTTAGCCCAGAGCTAACAGCAGTCTAAGTGATACCAGTGGAAACTGACTTACATTTATGGTCACTTGATTTTCAAAAAGGTTCAAAGAAAATTCAATGGGGAAAAGATAGTTGTTAACAACTTGGTGCTAGAACCAAAGGATGTCTGTGAGAAAAAAAAAAAAAAATGAATCTTTACCTCATATCATACTCAGTGACTAACTTTGAATGGATTATAGATTTAAACGTAAGAACTAAAACCATTAAATTGTAGATGAATACTTGTGACCTTGTATCAGGCAAAGTTACCAAACCGTATATCTAAAATTAGTAAATTTTACTATGTGTAAATTCTACCTCAATAAAACTATTAAAACAAACAAAAAAAACTATGCTGATACGATTTCTCACCCATCAGATTAGCAGAAACTCAAAAGCTTAACAATGCACTGTCAGCAAGGCTATTTTGAAACAGGTACTTTCATACAGTGCGGTGGGAATGCAAAATGGTGCATCCCTATGAAAGAGAACTTGGCAATGTCTAACAAATCTACATGTGCAATCCAACTTCTAGGAATTTACCCTGAAGATATATCTTCAATAATTTTAAAATACTGTGCACCAAGTTCTTTATTGCCACATCATTTATAATTGGGAAATATTGGAAACTACCTTAATCTCCAAGCATAGGTGATTGATTGAATAAACTGTGGGACATACACACAATGGAGTACTATGCTGCTG